TCAGTGAAGTGGGCCAGGGACACCAGACCCTCGGCTTTCTCCCTGCAGGGGGATCTGCCTCCCTGGCCTCACCTGTTGTGGTCTTCTGTGCGTGTTCATTCCTTACTCACTCTGAGCCTTCTGACTCTGACCAACCTGTGTTCCTGGCATTCTTTTGATGATGTAAGTGTTTCACACCCTATCTGCAACCAAGCAGGAGGACGGAGAGGATTTCTACAGCAAAGAGTACCTCTGGAAATTGCTTTTGTGAGGTTCTTTGAGGTGCTAATCACCTAACTTTTATTTGAATTGCTCTGACTCATCATTTAATAACTCCAGAGGACTTTTTACTTCCTTGGCAAGAGGAGGAAGGTGATGCCTCAGATAAAACCAAAACTTAGAGCTGCGCTTCTGAAGGAAATTGCTGCTCGGGTAGAGCTGGATGTGTAGGTGTTCTTCATGGGCCCATGCTGTGCCTCTACCAATGTCCTGAATTGATGGCAGCAGGGGGTAATCTTTCTTTGTTCTTCATCATGTATTGCCTGAGGCAGAACAAATACTTGTATACTTGGGATTTCAGCCATGCCTTTTAAGGACTGTGAACAGACTTATCAAAGAGCCATCTTGAGAGGCCTGTAGGGCGGAAGGAGAATACAGGACAAGAAAGTGGATGGAATTAATGGGAACAAGAGTGATATAAAACAGTTTAACCCCCTGTGGCCCTCTTCAGACTTTTACATTTGTCTATTTTTATTTATTTAAAAATTTTTAACTTTTGTGGGTACATAGGTGTATATAGTTATGGGGTACATAAGATTTTTTGATACAGGCATATAATGTATAATAACCATATCAGAGTAAATGGGGTATTCATCACCTCAAGCATTCATCATTTGTATTACAAACAATCCATATATATTCTTTTAATTATTTTATTATTGTATTTATTTATTTATTTTGAGACGGAGTCTCGCTCTGTCGCCCGGGCTGAAGTGCAGTGGCACGATCTCAGCTCACTGCAAGCTCCCACCTCCTGGGGTGATCCTGCTGCCTCAGCCTTCTGTGTAGCTGGGATTACAGGCCCGTGCTACCTTGCCCAGCTATTTATTGTATTTTTAGTAGGGATGGGGTTTCACCATGTTGGCCAGGCTGGTCTTTGAACTCCTGATCTCAGATGATCCACCCACCTCCGCCTCCCAAAGTGCTGGGATTACAGGCGTGAGCTATCGCACCCGGCCTATTATTTATTTTTGAGAGATAGGATCTTGCTCTGTTGCCCAGGCTGAGTCATGCTCACTGTATCCTCTACCTTCTGGGCTCAGGCAGTCCTCCCACCTCAGCTTCCCAAGTAGCTGGAACCACAGATGCACAACCACCACTCCTGGCTAATATTTTTATGTTTTGTTCAGACGGTGGGGAGGCTCTTGCTATGTTGCCCAGGCTGATCTCAAACTCCTGGGCTCAAGCAATCCTCCTGCCTCCGCCTTCCAAAGTGCTGGGATTACAGGTATGAGCCACTGTGGCTATCCTGGTCTACAGAAATGTCTAATTTTCTTCAGACTTTCTTCTCCCTTCAAATTAGGTTTCATCTGGCAGAGTGGCTACTCCATTTGTTTGCAAGCCTCTGCCCTTGATGTTCAGATTCCTGCTGCTGGTGGAGCCGGCTGAGTTTCCCAGATGGGCTCCACCTGCCTCCTCCTCGGTTGCTGCAGCATTCATTGCTTCGTGCTTCCTGTCTGGCTCGCCTCCAAATGAGTCTGTTCATTTCCTTTCTCCGGAAACTGTCCTTATCACTGAGGTTCGAAAGTTCCATAAAGGATATGGCAGTTTTGAGACTTGACCTCCAAACTTTGACCTTAATAAAAGCTGGTTTTTTAAACCCAGTTAAGCTGAATGAGTGGACTATGGCTTTTAATTGCTGTTAGCTGAAGGAGATGTATGGCTGCTGGGTGACACTTTAAACAGTGAGGTGTTGTATGTAATCTTGAATTTGGGTGGTGCTTGTGTTACCACTCGGAATTACCTTGTCAGTCTCACTTCCCTCCTGGCTTCTTGGCAATCCTCTTCTATTAATGTTTTCAGTTAATTTTCTTACTATCCAGTGAACTTACTTTGTATTTATTGTTTGGGATAGTGTTGTAGATGGTATTGATATTTGAAAGCTTACTGTTGAAAAGGACTGTAGTCCAGTGGCTTCTTTTAATAACCAGGGAAAACTGAGTCCATGAGGACACGCCTGCCTTTGAAAACCTAAGAATCCACTGCTTTTTCCATTGAGACGGAGCCCACAGAGATCTCCGAGAGGACGGCTGCAGCAGGAGTGCTGACTCCCGTGCAGCCACATTCCTTTTCTAATTGTCAAAGCTGATTAGTGGATTTGGATGTGCGTGGCTCAGAGGCCTCTAATAATCTTTCCTTTCTTACATAGCTCACCTAGAATTTGAAGAAAATTAAGCCAGTTGTGAAATATATCACCTTTCAGAAATGAACAGCATCTTAATTGATTCTCTTTGAAAACACGTCAGATTGGGATTTCTGAGTGTAATCTGGTATGCCTTGAGGTTGGGACCTCATGCTGGGGCACTCAGAGGAGACTGGTCCACCTCCAAGTTTGTTTTCTGGCTCCAAACAAATGAGTAGCTGTTTGACTGTTGGCACACTACCCGGTTTTAAAAGTACAACCATATAGGGTATGGAGGGCTGGTAACCAGGGGGTTTAAAAAGTGAGGTCATGGAAGGCCCAGATGAAGCTCTTTTAATGTGTATCACAACTGCAATTAATCTTATTAACATGCTGGGCCTGTTCCTGCTTTTGCTGCCCCGGGTGTGCGAGAGTATTTAGGGGGCATGCTTTGAAGGATTCTTGTTCTTTGATGATGCACATGGATAACAGAAGTACATCAAACTTTGTATCTGGCATTATAAAGGCCTTTTGTATGCCTCTATAGATTCATTCAGATTTGAGAAGAGCAAAAAGCTTCATGCCAATTGATAAGATGTATGAAAGAGAGTGGCTTGCAAATGCACTCTTGCAACAGTGAGCTCTATGACCAGATCAGAATCAGCTGAACAGGAATGGAGCCCTCTTCTATATCCAGCACTGAGGTAGTTCCAGTATAGTATTCTGGGAGTGAAAGATGGAAAAAAAAAAAAAAAAACCAGCCCGGCACAGTGGCTTATGCCTGTAATCCCAAAACTTTGGGAGGCCAAGGTAGGAGGATTGCTTGAGCCTGGGAGGCGGAGGTTGCAGTGAGCTGATGTGGCCCCACCGCACTTCAGCCTGGGCGACAGAGTGAGACCCTGTCTCAAGCAAACGAAAGCGTAAAAGCATTGTTGTGTATTTGGGAAACAAAAGTATGCACAGGAAGCAACAAGGCGTAGAAGGTGTTGTGGATCCTAAACCTGAACTGATGAGGGTAGCATGGGGGTTCTGAGGACAGGGAGGTAACTGAGGGCTGTTGTGGTTAGGATGGCTTCCTGGGTGGGGTGGGCCTTGAACGCAGAGGATCACCAGGTGAGGAGCAGGGTGCGGTGCAAGTGGTGCTCTTAGCTTGCACTGACTGGTAGGGCAGGACGTAGTGAGAGGTAAAGTTGGAGTATAGCAGCAGCGGATGGTATGCTTTGGTTTTCTGTGTGCACTCTTGCTGTCTTGTTTTTCTTCCATACAAGTGTAATTAAGGAAGGCTAGTATAGTACTCCAGCCTTATAAGGTTGCTGCTTCATTTTATTTTTGTAGACCATGTGTTAGAAGTTGTCTAAAATACCCACCCAGACTCCCCACCCCCCCCACCCCCCCACCCCCTGGCTTCTTGCTTAACAAGTAACCTTAAGGACCAAGAAAGAGGTTGTTTAAAATTTCAAGTTCAACAGATGGGGATTGTGTGCGCTGATAATCCTCTAATGAATAGAATCTGCTCACTTCAATGAATAATAAGAAAAAAGAAATATTTGTTCCTTTATAATGTACTCATTTGCTCATAGTTAAGGAATGTCACATTCATAACATTAAAAGTTTCTTAAGGTTTTCTTGTTGTGTCCTTTAACTGGTTTATTTTTTAATTTTTTAAATTTTAAATAGAGATGGGGGTTTTGCAATGTTGCCCAGGTTGGTGTCGAACTCCTGGGCTCAAGCGATCCTCTCATCTCGGCCTCCCAAAGTGCTAGGATTACAGGCATGAGCCACAGTGCCCGGCCTGGTTTCTTAACTGCAGGATTTCTTAGAGCCTTGAACATTCTAAGGAACACTGGGAATCTCTAAGAGGAGTGAAGGAGGAGGAAGAACAGGAGGGCCTTTTCTGTCCACAGCACATTTTGGAGGATTGGTGTTCCATGGAACACTCTTTGGGGAGCATGGCCCCCTGCTGTTCTGCAATGTTGTGTGCATTGCCCTTGTTCATTCCAGTTGCCCTCTGTTTTTTCACTTATTTTTCCTGCCCTGAGATGACAGTGATGCATCTAGTGCTACAAGGAGGATTGGGGGATGGGGAGAGGCTGTTAAGTCCCTCTCTAACCTTTTCCTTGCTGTTGGAAACATGAACAAAGTGAACGTCTTATGTAGCTGCACTAAAAAAGTTGCCTGCTTACAAGCTGAATTCAGGCAAGATGAACTCCTGAATCCTCACATAAGTGGAAATAGAGCCCCACCCTGTATCCTGCCATTAAAAAAAAAAAAAAAAAAAGTCCTGTCATCTGGCAGGGGGAAAAAAATCCCAGCCCTAGAGTGGCCAGGATGAATCAGCATGCCAGGGCCATACACCAAGATAAGCATTGAGTCTCTCGATGTGGCACCATGGCAGATTATCAACACTGGTGCCGTGAGAACACTGCAGCAAGCAGCACACTGTACTTTTAAGGACAAGAACAGCAGCGCCAAACACCCCAGAAACAGCTGTTCTGATTCTTTCCTTCAGGGGTAGAATTTTTTTTTTTTTTTTTGAGGCAGAGTTTCACTCTTGTTGCCCAGGCTGGAGTGCAGTGGCTTAACCTCCGCCTCCAGGGTTCAGGTGATTCTCCTGCCTCAGCCTCCCGAGTAGCTGGGATTACAGGCACGCGCTACCACACCCAGCTAATTTTTTGTATTTTTAATAGAGACAGGGTTTCTCCATGTTGGTCAGGCTGGTCTTGAACTCTCGACCTCAGGTGATCCACCTGCCTCGGCCTCCCAAAGTGCTGGGATTACAGGTGTGAGCCTCTGTGCCTGGCTTTTTTTGTTTTTGTTTTTGTTTTAAAAGACGGAGTCTTGCTCTCACCCAGGCTTGAGTGCAGTGGCACGATTTTGGCTCATTGCAACCTCCGCCTCCTGGGTTCAAGTGATCCTCCTGCCTCAGCCTCCAGAGTAGCTGGGACTACAGGCGCACACTACCACACCCAGCTAATTTTTCTAATTTTAGTAGAGACGAGGTCTCCCTGTGTTGCCCAGGCTAGTATTGAACTCCTGGGCTCCAAGGATCCACCTGCCTTGACCTCCCAAAGTGCTGGGATTACAGGAATGAGCCATTGTGCCTGGTCTGCAGTATTGCTCTAGAACATCCTGTTTTACACTGTTTTATTGTAGATCTTTTCCTTCGTCGTTCTTCATTTACATCTCTGTCTATTATAGTCTGTATTTGCAATGTTTACTACGATAATTAGATGAAGCTTAAAATTCAGTTTTCATTTCCAGGGCTCAGAAGCCACATGTTGCTCATGGCTGCTCTGATGGACAGCACAGTTACAGGACATTTCCTCCACTGCAGAAAACACTGCTGGATAGCCCTGATTATATCAACAATGCTGATCATTATTTGAGAAAACTGATCTCCCTGGGCTCCCTCAACACCTCTGCTTACTTTATTATTTTAAACAAGTTTTTGTAGGTGCATACCACCATGCCCAGCTATTTCTTTGTTTTTTTTTTTTTTTTTTTTTAGAGACAGGGTGTGCTATATTGTCCAGGCTGGCCTTGAACTCCTGGGCTCAGGTGACCCTCCCGCCTCAGTTTCCCAAAGTGCTGGGATTATAGGCGTGAGACACCATGCTTGATAACTCTGCCTACTTTAATATCTTAGAGGTTTTGGTGCCGAAAGTAAAGAACATTGGACAGACATCAAATGTAAATGCAAAACTGTCCCAGGTGGCTCTTCTCATACGTTTCACTAGGGTTGAGCAAGACGTGCTCCCCACCTGGAAGACCCTCCTAGGGCTTTGTAGCTCTATGTGACAATTCTCTTTGTATTCATCACATGGCTTCCACTTTGTGTACCTAAAAGACTTCTGAGAACAGTATTTTTCCCTATTAATCATACTTTAAAATCTAGTTTAGGAGCACCTAACTTCACATGCTGAAATTTTCTTTTGAAATTTCCTTTGAAACCCCTACAGTGCTCTCTGGAAATCACTTGTTTACTTCATACCATGCTTCAGTGCGAACCTGCTTTGGTTTGCTTATGAGTCCCTCCATGAATTCAGTGGAAATGTCTCTCCCAGAGAATGTTTTTCTCTTTCGGTCTGGTCCATGGTACTTTATTTGATGTCCTTATTAGAAGACATCTAGAGGAGTCAAGACCTAGGTTCAGTTCAGTTTGAGCTAGCCTTGAATTCCATTTGCAACACGGATGGGCCCACTGCTCCAATAAATGTGCTGTTTTCCGTGTGAAAGGTGCTTGATGTTTTGCTCTGTGCAATTCCTAGGCTAGAACTTGTTCTGTCTTGTTATTACACTGGGTATCCCAGTCTGTTGGTCATCAGCAGGTGACTGCCTATTGCCAAAAGAGACGAGATGAAAAGTAGGAATTCATGATTTTGGAATCTAGCCTTACTTGGAGAAAGTCCCTGTTGGCCTGGGAAGTTCACTCTTCTGTGCAGACCCAGGCTGGACCCCAAACCTGACTAGGTGTCAGAGCACCTGTGAGAGCTGTGGGATCTCCCAGTGGCAGGGTGTACCACTTAACTGAGTGTCATGCTGCTGGCATCAGGCACTGTGCATATATTGTCCTCCACTCAATCAGAGTATCTGTGCTATTAATGTTTGCTCTTTTTTGTTTTTGGTAAAAGGTTTTTATTTTTTTAAAGAGATCTGTAATACTAAAAAAAAATAAAAAATAAACAAACACCCAAAAACCTCTTGTGGGGCTGGGGTGGGGAGTGAGGTAAACTTTCCTAGGCTGTCAGGCAAGCAAAGGCAGAAAGGCGGGGTCCACAACTGTCTCTCACAGCTTTGAGTGCTTGGCATGGAGCTTGGCACCAATGGGCAATCAATAAATAGTTGTTGAATAATGGCTTGTATTATATCTTCATAACAGTTGTATAAAGTAGGTATTCTTTTGCATATTTTACAGTGATGAGAAAACTGAGGCCCAGAGAGGTTAAGTAACTTGCCTCTGGTTGCACAGCTAGAATGTGGCAGAGCTGTGTGATTTTAGACCTAAGTATGTCTAAATCATAGTCCACAGGCTGTCACTAAGCTAAAATAGAGGAAATGATAGGGCCACATTCACCTTTTCACTCTCTTTTGGACAGTCACTATTTTTTTGAGGGGGGAGCGGGGACAGAGTCTTGCTATGTTGTCCAGGCTGGAGTGCAATGGCACAGTCTCAGCTCACTGCAACATCTGCCTCCCAGGTTCAAGTGATTCTCCTGCCGCAGCCTGCTGAGTAGCTAGGATTACAGGTGCGCCACCACACCCAGCTAATTTTTGTATTTTTGTAGATGGGGTTTCACCGTGTTTGCCAGGCTGGTCTCGAACTCCTGACCTCATGATCCACCCACCTTGGCCTCCCAAAGTGTTGGGATTACAGGCGTGAGTCACCGCGCCCGGCCCGAATAGTCACTCTTAATTGCACTATGTTTATTGGGCATTTTGTTATGTTTTTAATTTTGATATAATTTCATAGTTATAGAAAAATTAACCAAAAGAGTATAAACAATTTTCAGACCCTTTACCCAGATTTGTTGGGGCATATTCTTCGAAAGTCTGAGTTGTGAGCCTGCGGGATTGGGCTGCATTTGTTGAGTAGAGCCTGGGCCATGCTACGCAAGAACTCCTGGGTGCCTGTGAGGTTGGGTGTGTCCCATCTGAGAAAGTTCGCTGCTGAAAAACAGTGACGTAACCCCACCCAGGAACTGAAGCGAGCCTAAGATCAGCTCTCCAGGGCTTGCTGGCTGGAAACAATGAGGGAAGAAGAGTCTAGGATTTACGAAATATTTTTTTGTGGAAGAACTCTTCCTCTGAGAAACTGCTGGAGGGTTTGGGGAATACAAAACAAAACTGACTTATGAAAAGATGACTTGTAACTCACCAAGCAGACACTCTCGGGCGTGGCATGATGCCCTCACTGCCTGCCAAGAACAATAACTGACACATTATCCACAGACGACTGCGCCCCATGCCGTTTCCTCTCCTGCCATCACAATGAAAGGCCAGGGTTGACACGTGGTGGTGTATCCCAGTCCGCTGCACCGTTCTCTTTTAACCCTTCCTTCTTGCTCCCACCCCTTTACCTGTGAGAGCTACTGTGCCCCTCCTGGGTTTCATTTTCTTCTCTTCGTTTTTCCTGGGCATACAGCTGCATTCCTAGAGATTGTGGTTCTGATTCATAATCAGTGTATGCGGAGGAAGGGGGAGGATTCTGCTCTGTGAGCGGACAGGAGCGTCTGTTTTAAAGGGGTAAACAATTGGGAAGTTTGTAGAGTTAAGGGTCTTCCTCTGATGCTAAATGAAACACCGTCCTCTGTTCCAAGGCCTGAGCTTATGACTTCTTTGCTACCAGACCCAGAGAAACAGTGTTTGGTGGCCACTTTGGAAGCAGTTTGTCCTTTGACCTTCCCCACTCCACTTGTGCAGACACCAAGCCCTGTGAGGACGGGCGTGGTGTCTGCTGCTGAGCCTGACTGCCCCATACTTAGGCAGGTGCCTGGCAGATGGCAGAAGCTCAGCAAATATTTGCCGAATGATGAGGCTTGGGTGTATGATTGCTACATTTTTGGCTTTAAAAGTACAGCATCAGGGCCCTTTGGGTTTTACCTACTTTTCTGGGATATACTTTCCTTTCCAGTTGATCCATTTTTTTTTTTTTTTTTTTTAGATGGAGTTTAGCTCTGTCTCCCAGGCTGGAGTGCAATGGCATGATCTCTGCTTACTGCAACCTCTACCTCCCGGGTTCAAGCGATTCTCTTACCTCAGCCTCCCAAGTAGCTGGGATTATAGGTGCTTGCCACCATGCCTGGCTAATTTTTGTATTTTTAATAGAGACAGAGTTTTACCACATTGGCCAGGCTGGTCTCCAACCCCTGACCTCAGGTTATCCGTCCACCTCGGCCTCCCAAAGTGCTGGGATTACAGGTGTGAGCCACCATGCCCAGCCAGTTTCCTTAGTTTTTAATCTCTGAGAAGGAAAGATAATTGTTACATAAGGATGTCTCAGTTATCTGTGTGTGGATGATCCAGGGAAAATACCTCTTTCCAGACTGGCTTACTCTTTGGATTTTCCTCAAGCTTCTGGGTCTGCCTGTGCGAAGGGGCCTAAGGCTGGGTGTTAAGTGCCATAGCATCAGCAAAACCTGTAATTTAGGGTTAACCAGCTTTACTTAACCCTGTTCTTTGCTCTTAATCACTCCCATTACCCCTTTTCCTTCTCCTCGTTCTTAGAATTCTCATGTGAGTGGTGGTAAGCTCCTAGGATGTATGTATGCTGCTGTGTATGTGCTTTGCCATTTCCTGTGTTTTTAATGGTGAGCCTTTGGTGATTCCTCAGATGGAACTCTTTTGCCCTTGGTCATACCTGTGAAAGCAGCACCAGATCTTTTCAATCAGATTATTCTAGGCCTGGTCACACCTGTGAAAGCGCCCCCACATCTTTGCAATCAGATCAGCCTAGGCCAGAAAGCACCTTAAAGGAGGTGATTGACTCTAGTTCCTTGTTTGGTAGAAAATGAGGGAACAGGCTCAGAGAAGTGAAGCCCAAGGCACAGAGTTAGTTGGTGACAGACTCAGGACTGGAGCCCAAGTCTTGCAGGTGTTGTGCACTTTCTGCAACACCCCTTTGCCCTGCCAGCTTCCCATCCCACATCCATGAGATTTAAAGTCTTTTATTGTACACTTTTTAGTATATGCTTTGAAGAGTCTTTGGACAGTTAATGCACAATCCAAGACTACTTCATTTTCTTCTTCAGCTATGACTGGTGCCCAGCTAATTGTGGATTGGTAAGAGCAAGACAGAGATGCGATACATGTTTAAAACTTCCTTGGGGCTCAGTGCAGTGGCTCATACCTGTAATCCCAGCACTTTAGGAGACTAAGGTGGGAGGATTGCTTGGACCCAGGAGTTCAAGAGCAGCCTGGGCAACATAGCCAGACTTCATCTATACAAAAAATTAGCTAGGTGCAGTAGTGCTTGCCTGTAGTCCCAGCTATTCAGGAGACTGAGGTGGGAGGATCGCTTGAACTCAGGAGGTCAAGGCTGCAGTGAGCTGTGATTATGCCCCTGCACACCAGCCTGGGTGATAAAGTGAGACCTGTCTTAAACAAAACAAAACACTTTCTTGGAAGTAGTCACTGGAGCTTTTGAAAGCTTATTTTAATCCACAGCTTTTCCCCCACCAAACACTAATACCAAAAATAAGATTACTTTGGGGTTTTACATTGGCAAATAGGATGCTCCCAAGGGACTTTGAAGCCTACCCCTGAAGCTAGGGAGTGAACACATTATCTTGTGCTGGTATTTATCCAGTATTACCCAGTATACTGACCCATTAGACTTCACCAGGTTGGTGCTGACATTGAAAAGTCACCGAGATAATTTGTAGTCAGCACACTCCTCTTAGGGTCTAAAGTCAAAGATCTTGAGGTTTGAATGGATCGAGAGCCTTTTCTTACTCAACGTGATATTGATGCAAGTTCTGTAGTAGCCCCTCCTGGTGTATTTACGACACTAGCTTCCAGTGGGCAGATGGAAACCAGTGCCTGCCTGGAGACTATCCAGCTGTGAGAATGGTGTGATGTGTCTGGCAGAAAGAGACGTGTTTACAAAGGCTTTATTTTGCAGGCGTAAATCATTAGATTTTAACTGTTCTTCCTCTCCTTGTGTTGAATCTGATTATGCAGCCTTTCTGTAAGTTTTTAAATGTTTACCCACACCAGACCCTTGGGGACCGATTGGATTTAGTGGGAACACCCTAGAAGACCTGGATTAAAGTAGAACTTTGGTCTCTCAACTAGTTGGGTTGTCCTTGGACAAACTGCTTGGCCTCTGTAAATCTTCTGTCCTTATCTGTAGCATAGGGGTGCTAATTAGCATTAGCTCATTGTTGGGAGGATTAAATGAGAACACCCCTGTGGAAGCTCTTAGAGCTCCCAGTAAAGTTTGGAGTTAGGGAGGGTTAGCAGGCTTTCATTTGCTTCCACTGAACAGTTACATTTTTTTTCAGCAGTTTAATTTGCTGAAACTGGTGTAATAATGCCTCCTTGATTAGGTCGTTGGGAGAAGTAAAGGCAGTACAAGTTAGGTGCCTGGTATACTTCGTCAGGGTGACAAAACGCTGTAATTTGGTCATTTGTGATCACGTCTACTGCTGCATAATGTCATGCACTGGTGGAACTATTTAGACAGCTAATTATTGATAAATTCTTCACAGTGAGAAGAGGATTTAACCGATGTTTCTCCCTCTAGAGTGTGGGGAGGTAGAGAAGTGGGTGAGACTGGAAGAGTGGGAAGGAGAAGTCTGGCTACTTGTATCTTGGCCTGGGGATTTGTTTGGAAGATGAATTACCCTCTGGTAGTTGTGTACAGTTTACAGGTCAGGGATACTTCTAGCTACTGACAAATTAGTTTTTTAAAAAAATATATCCCCTAGGAAGACTGTAGTCTGAAAGAATGAGAACCGTAATTGGTGGATAAGCCTGGAGAGTTTGAAAGTAAGAGAGAAAGGGAAGCATCGAGGGAGTTGGGGCGGGGAGGCGGAGAGACAGAGGGAGAGAGAGAGAGTGTGTGTGTGTGTGTGTGTGTGCGCGTGTTTCAAGGTGATGTGCAAGAACAACACGGTTCTTGTATGGGTTGTAATTTTTTTTTTTTTTTTTGAGACAGAGTCGCACTCTGTCACCCAGGCTAGAGCACAGTGGCACAATTATGGCTCACTACAGCCTCGACTTCTGGGCTGAGGTGATCCTCCAACTTCAGCCTCCTAAGTAGGTGGGACTACAGGTGCGCACCACTGTGCCCAGCTCATTTTTATATTTTTTGTAGAGATAGAGTTTCCTCATGTTGCCCAGCCTGGTCACAATCTCCAGGGCTCAAGCTCTGCCCTCCTTGACCTCTCAAAGTCCTGGGATTGCAGGCTTGTGCCACCGTGCCCAGCCCTTGTGTGGAATTTTTTAAAAATCCTGACTTATCCCCTTTTATTTTTGAGACAGAGGTTTGCTCTTGTTGCCCAGGCTGAAGTGCAATGGCGTGATCTCAGCTCACCGCAACCTCTGCCTCTCAATCAAAGTGATTCTCCTGCCTCAGCCTCCTGAGTAGCTGGGTTTACAGGCATGCACCACCATGCCCAGCTAATTTCATGTTTTTAGTGGAGACAGGGTTTCTCCATTTTGCTCAGGGTGGTCTCAGACTCCCAAGCTCAGGTGATCCGCCCACCTCAGCGTCCCAAAGTGCTGAGATTACAGGCGTGAGCCACCGCACCCGGCCTCTCCGCAGTTTTTTCTATGATTGCTCACATGTGACATGGCTTGTTTTTCTTCTAGGATGTTGAGAAAGAGAAGGAAACCCACAGTTACCTCAGCAAAGAGGAGATCAAAGAGAAAGTTCATAAATACAACTTAGCAGTCACAGACAAGTTGAAGATGACCTTGGTAAGTACCCACAATACTATTTGGGTTGACACCTGTCAAAAAACAAATATAAATTGTTGGTACTACAATCTATAGTTCTAAATATCTGAATAACATTTGTAGAAGGGTAGTAGTCACGGTATACAGAACAGGAAAATGCAATATTTCTGTGGCTTTCAATTTAAATCTGTATTGTGAAGTAACTTTGTCTCAAAAATCGGTTGCTGGGTTAACCTTAAAAAAGGGAAACACTTATAATTTTATTTTAAAAGATTTTGTGACCCACCCCTCCTTCCTCAAAGGATTTTTGGCATCATTGCCTAACATACAGAAATAGTGACTCAGATTCTAAGAAGACCTCAGGTAAGGGTTTTTTTTTTTGAAACAAGGTTTTGCTCTGTCACCCGGGCTGGAGTGCAGTGGCACGATCACTGCTCACTGCAGCCTCAACCTCTGGGCTCAAGTAATCCTCCCACCTCAGCCTCCAGAGTAGCTGGGACCATAGGCGCTTGCCACGATGCCTAGCTAATTTTTGTAGTTTTTTGTAGAGACGGGGTTTTGCCATGTCACCCAGGCTTATCTCAAATTCCTTGGCTCAAGGGATTTGCCCACCTTGGCCTCCCAAAGTGCTGGAATTACAGGTACCAGAAGCCCCTAAGTTTTTGTCTTGTACAAAATAAGTATGGAAGTGTCAGGGAGAGGATTTTGAGCCCATGGATTGGAATATAGAGGTATATAATAGGATAGTTTTCTCTGCCAGTCATTAGTGTAAGACGAGGTACTTAATACTCAGTGTCTTCCATGTCGCTGTCACAGGCTTCCATAGCATTGCACCACACTGTTTGAAGCATGCAGAGTCGGTGTACAGGAGGGAGAAAGCTCAGGGCCTGGTGACAGGGAAACAAGAGCTGACAGCAGAACTAGAGTATTCATGTTCCTCTAAACTTAGCTGTCATCTAGGTCTCGCCTACCCATTGGGTGGCCCGCCTTCTTCACGGCACTTGTCAGCCCTTGGTACCAGTTTCCAGGGCACTTGGACTCCTGTCTTTCAGTCTGTTTACTGTGAACTGACAGAGTTTGGTAAAGGACAGGGTGATTGGTTTAAAACAGGCCTTACCGAATCCGGTGATTCTTGGGGAGGAGCTTTCAGATAGAAACCCTTGTGGTAAAGAACCCCTCCCTGGTAGAACTCCTCCAAAAAGAGGGGAGAGGAACAGAGAATCCCAAGGTAACTCTTCATCATTCCAGCAGCAAGATTTCTTTTTCAAACACATTTTTCATCAAAGGAGAATTCCACTTGCTTTTTTTTTTTTTTTCTTTCCCCATAGAGACTAAAACAGATACAAATTATCCATATCATTTTAAAGATAAAAATTTTAGGCTGGGCACAGTGGCTCACACCTGTAATCCCAGCATTTTGGGAGGCTGAGGCGGGTGGATCACTTGAAGTCAAGAGTTCGATGGTGGCTCACACCTGTAATCCCAGCACTTTGGGAGGCCGAGGCGGGCAGATCACGAGGTCAGGAGATGGAGACCATCCTGGCTAATACAGTGAAACCCGGTCTCTACTAAAAATACAAAAATTAGCTGGGCGTGGTGGCAGGCAGGCGCCTGTAGTCCCAGCTACTCAGGAGGCTGAGGCAGGAGAATGGCGTGAACCTGGGAGGCGGAGCTTGCGGTAAGCCGAGATTGCACCACTGCACTCCAGCCTGAGCGACAGAGCAAGACTCCGTCTCAAAAAAAAAAAAAAAAGTTTGAGACTAGCCTAGTCAACATGGCAAAACCCCATCTCTACTAAAAATAGAAAAATTAGCCAGGCATAGTGGCGGGCGCCTGCAGCCCCCACTACTCAGGAGGATCACTTGAACTCAGGAAGTTGAGGCTGCAGTGAGCTGTGTTCGTGCCACTGTACTCCAGCCTGGGTGAGAGAGTGAGACCCTGTCTCAAAAACAGAAAAAAACAAAAAAAAACAAAAAAAACAGTTTTCAATTGGAATTTCAATCAGTTGGGATTGGAAATTGATCTTGCAGGAAGGAAGAAAAATAACACACCATAAAGGTAGTTTTAAATGTTCTACTTTAACTGTGGCATTTATATGTAACACTTGACAGTTTGTTTTAATAAAACATTACAGTAAATCTTTTCTAAATATACTGTTTTTGTTTGTTTTTGAGATGGAGTCTCACTCTGTCGCCCAGGCTGAAGTGTAATGGTATAATCTCGGCTCACTGCAACCTCCGCCTCTGGGTTCAAGAGATTCTCCTGCCTCAGCCTTTTGAGTAGCTGGGATTACAGGCGCCCGCCACCACACTCAGCTAATTTTTTGTGTGTATTTTTAGTAGAGATAGGATTTCACCCTGTTGGCCAGGCTGGTCTCAAACTCCTGACTTCCAGTGATCTGCTTGCCTCGGCCTCCCAAAGTGCTGGGATTATAGACGTGAGCCACTGCGCCTGGCCCCAAATATACTGAATAGAAAAATAAAAATAAAAAGCGAAGACCAAACTGTTATTACTGTTTTTGTCAACTAAGAAATAGTAATTCTGCCATCAGCGAAGATAGTTGTTTTTAAGATCTGTACTGTGAAGTATAGTGGCTTGAATTTTTTTTTTTTTTTTTTTGAGACAGAGTCTTGCTCTGTTGCCCAGGCTGGAGTGCAATGGCGTGATCTTGGCTTGCTGCAACCTCAAGCGATTGAATTTGTTTTTAAAATGCTGCTTAAGAGACCTGAAATGCATCCTATGCTGTATGGCATATATGCTGTGTTAAAAAGTCTAAGCAAAGTTGGTAATTCAGTGCATATGAATATAGCCACTAGGAATGAAAATAGCCTATTTTCTTACTGTCTCCTCATTATTGACTTTGGTATTTCAGAGCCCTAATTGTGACCTTCCTTTTGCATATAATAGTCACCAGTTGAGAATGTTGTTTCCTTTAAGCCTGTAGCCTAGACATATCCCCCAAGCTTTAATAAGTTTTGTGGTTTGGCTAGCATCTGCTTCATTGGATTGTAACCTTGCAAATGGGCCCTGACCTTTTGCCGGTAGCTTCAGAGGCATGAGTCTGGGGCCAGCAGTCAGCCACAGCATCAGGAGGCTTCTTCAGTTGCCACATCTGCCCTGCAGACCTTGCCTCTGGAAGCACTTTGCCTGGTGTGTTAACCGCCCTCTGAGGTCATTCCCTTGGGGGCAATCTTTAGTGAAGTTTTGCCACAAACCTCCAAGAGAAGAGAACAAAGGAGTGTTTCACCTTCCCATTTTGTTTTGATATGCTCCTTCCCTAAAGTGCCACCATCCACCCAGCTAAGTGTGTGCTTCTCTCCCTGCTTCAGAATTCAAATGGGATTTACACTGGCTTCATTAAAGTACAGATGGAACTCTGCAGACCTCCACAGACTTCTCCAAATTCTGGAAAACTCTCTCCCAGTAGCAATGGCTGTATGAATACACTTCATATCAGCAGCACAAACACTGTCGGGGAAGTGATCGAGGCCCTGCTCAAAAAGTTTCTCGTGACTGAGAGCCCTGCCAAGTTTGCACTTTATAAGCGTTGTCACAGGGAAGACCAAGGTACGCTGCCAGCTTAAAAGGAAAATGGTCTGTGCTTCTACTTACATCTGCTGTTCTCATTAGCAGAGGGAAGACTGGTGGGTCTCATCCATGTCAATTGTGTCAGAGCCTGGAGTCCGATGCTGGAAGCCATGGTGATCTTAGCATGCACTTAGTGCTTCCTGGCTGTCCACATTTTTGAGTTGGACAGTTGTGGGTCTGAGGAGCTTGGAAGCATCCATATGCAACGGGCAGTTATGGAGTATTTTGTGTTGTTGTTGGGGGGATGGGGCGGGGGCTGTTTTTTGTTATTGTTAGGAGTGGCTTTGATTTTAATTTTCTTTAGTACACAAAAGAGTGCCTCTGTGTGTAAAGTTTTCAATAGCACATTCCACATTTGTTGTGCATCGGTACATGGAGTAGTTTGGTGGACCTGTGCTGAGACCTTGCAACTGGGGAGGCACATGTGCATCACAGCACATTTCAGCGTACTGATGGAAATGGCCCAGCCCTGGGCTCTCCTGATTCCTTAGCTTGTCTCACTTGGTGTTACACTGGGACATTTTGGTACTCTGCCCCCCAGAGGCTCATAAAATGAGTGAATAACATTTTGATCTAGGGTCTGACTAAACTTCATATCCACATTCAGGGGATAGAAAGAGAATATTAAATATTAAATTACTATATGAAACGGAATGAGATATTCCAGGTCAGGCAGTGACCAGAAATTGATACCAGTGGTGGACAGTAGTGATTCAGTGATTCACTACATGTGATTTGAAATTGGGGTGTGTGTGTGTGTGTGTGTGTGTGTGTGTGTAGAATAAACTTTTGAAGCTTTCTTTAGTTTTTCTGGGTAAAGCCTCATGTAGCTATAGAAGAAAATATATTAACCTTGACATGATAGTAATGTTCTTCAGTTACACAGGATGAAACCCAGCCCATTGCTGAGTATGCATACATCTTTTTAAAAACATACCATGGGGCTAGACCCTGTGGAATACAAAGATGAACAGACCAGGGTTCCTACCTCCAGAGGTCACAAGCTTAGTATTGTGGGGGAAGTTTATATCTACAGGGAAATTGGCAAGGCAGTGCATCTGGAAGTGCCACAATAATGTAGAGAAGCTCGATGGCATTTTTATCTGCCAGTTTCTTTGCCTGCTCACCTGGACTTCAGCTGTACAATCTGAAAGTAATAGTGACTTGTTGAAATATTACCCCCATGGCTGGCAAATCCTTTAACATGATTGGCAATGTCACTGTATGGGTGTGTCTAGCATGAGACATAGCTGTGCTTGAAGCTACCAGAGCTTATATTCTGATTGCTCGGTTTGTAGCTGCTAATTCTTAATTAATCTGTAGAGAGATTTGCTTCTAGAACTCTTGTTTTTATGTTCTTTGGATGGTATATACATTTTTTAAAATTTGTCTTTTGTTTGTTTGAGACAGTCTTGCTCTGTCGCCCAGGCTAGAGTGCAGTGGCACAATCTCGGCTCACTGCAATCTCCGCCTCCCGGATTCCAGTGATTCTCCTGCCTCAGCCTCCCAAGTAACTGCAATTACAAGTGCCCACCACCATGCCCAGCTAACTTTTGTATTTTTAGTAGAGACGGGGTTTCACCATGTTGGTGGCCAGACTGGTCTCAAACTCCTGACTTCAGGCAATCCGCCTGTCTCGGCCTCCCAAAGTGCTGGGATTACAGGCGCAAGCCCCTGGCCTTGGTTTTTGAGACAGCGTCTTACTCTGTCGCCTAGGCTGGAGTACCATGGCACAATCATAGCTCATTGTAACCTTGAACTCCTGGGCTCAAGTGATCCTCAGTCTCCTGAGTAGCTAGGACTGTAGGTGGGCACCATTATGCCTGGCTAATTAGAAAAAAAAAAAATTTTTTTTTTTTTTTGGAGACCAGGGCTTTGCTATGTTGCCCTGGCTGGTCTTGAACTCCTGGCCTCAAGTGATCCTCCTGCCTCAGCCTTTCAAAGTGTTGGGATTACAGGTGCGAGCCAGCATGACTGGCCTATTTTTATTGTTTTTAAAGGAGTTGTAGACCCGTTTTTAGGTTGATTGTTTTCTTTTTTTTTTTTTCCCCATTTAAAAAAAAAAATTATTTATTTTTTGAGACACAGTTTCTCTCTTGTTGCCCAGGCAGGAGCGCAATGGCACGATCTCAGCTTGCTGCAACCTCCACCTCCCAGGTTTGAGCGATTCTCCTGCCTCAGCCTCCCAAGTAGCTGGAATTACAGGTGCCCGCCACCACGCCCAGCTAATTTTTTGCATTTTTGGTAGAGACAGGGTTTCGCCATGTTGGCCAGGCTGGTCTCAAACTCCTGGCCTCAAACTCCTGGCCTCAGGTGATCTGCCCACCTCGGCCTCCCAAAGTATTGGGATTACAGGCGTGAGCCACCATGCCCGGCTCTTATCTTTGTTTTCTAAAAGGAAGAGCAGAGTTAACTATAAGCATATTTTGGGACTAATACCTATTAAAATTTATTCTTGAAAATAATTTCCTCCTTAATCAAGGCACAGTTTATATTTGAACAGAAACAGAATAGATTTTATTCCACTGTGGGCTACTGGTATTAAATAATAAGATGAGCCAATTGGCGACTTGGAGACTGGGGTAACTTGAATGGTTACCTTGATCTGGAGGAGGGGATCACAATGGGGAAGTGGTCTCAGGAATGGCTGAATACTCTGTAACATGCTGCTTGTTTCCTTACCCAGTCTACGCCTGCAAGCTCTCAGACCGGGAACATCCACTCTACCTGCGTTTGGTAGCAGGGCCCAGAACAGACACGCTTAGTTTTGTTCTTCGTGAACATGAAATTGGAGAGGTAAGTTATTGTTCACTATTGCTTTACACTGTACAGAACAGCTGGCCCTATTTAATTGCAGTAGCCTAGTGACTTGGCTATTGATGGGGGATGGGAAGAGAGGAGAGTTGGAGGGCAGGGAGAGGGAGAGAGATTTTGAATTGTCAGAAATGAACCCAAAGTTAGCCTACAGTGTTGTTCTCTTATAACCTTATGTTATTAGTCTGTCAGAGATGGGAGAAAATAAAATTTTTTACTTGATCTCCATCCAGAGAGTCATTTTCACCCCTTCCCACCTCCAAAATACTCCAGTCCAGCTGAACTTTGAAAGTTGACACTCACCATGTGTTTGCTGCTAACAAAAGTCTCCAGGCTAATTCCCTTCTAAAGGGAAATAAAAGGAAATTTGATCTCTTTACCATGGAAGACATTTAGCTTTCTAGAATCTTTTTTTTCCCCTTTGCCCAGTCAGCTGATTAAGAAATTATGTTTCCATGTGCATCATTTGCCATATTGTCTCCAGGGAGGATTGTATTTAGCCAGTTCAGTAGAAGAAAAAAAGCACTTGAGCCTGCCCTCTAGATCAAGTGTCAGCTTTAAATGACACTTGAGCAAATCTCAAGCTCCTGTCCCAGTCTTCTGTCTGGAAACAGGAAATGGTATGAAATGTCCTACATGGTGCAGTTGAGAATAGGGTTTCTAGGTTAAAAGTTGGGAAACACTTTGTTTCCGACTGTTGGTTAGATTAGTAGCATGACCTCGGGTAAATCTTCTCATCTTTTAGCCTTCAGTTTTAAAATCTGTTAAGTGGGACTAAACACTTTACAAGGTGGCTTTGAGTCACAATTAGAAATGTATACATGGAAGTGAAGGGAGTTTTAGGAAGACAGTGGTTTTAGATGTTTTTGAAGTTTCTTTTGATTCTGGTGTTTTGAAGCTTTTCAAGACATTCAGACTCATTTTGGGGAGAAGGCAGGGTGCAGAGTCTGACTTGGCTTTGCAGTTGGGCAGCATTCCTTCTGCCAGCTTAAGCCAGACACATGAGCATAGTCTAGTCAGTGTTTTATTTTTCTTGTACTTAGTGTTTTAAGTAGCAACTAGAACTACACTGGGCAAGAATTTTATTAACTTAGTTATTTTATTTTATTTTAATTCTAATTAGAGATGGGGTCTCGCTACATTGCCCAAGCTGGTCTCAAACTCCTGGGCTCAAGCGATCCTCCCACCTCAGCCTCCCAAAGTGCTGAGATTACAGGTGTGAGCCACTGCACCTGGCCTTAACTTAGGTTTGAAATTGACTTGACATTGGGTTTTATTGTTCCGGACTGCTGTACTGGACTTCTGTATGGTGTTCTCGTTTCTCAGTTATCTGAGGAAAACTGAACTGAAGGAAGAAATTTCCATAGCTGTTAGGGGGTGGGAGGGATATTTATATGATGTCTTTATTTTGGAGACTTCAACATAGGTGAAAGATAATCTGTTGAAATTTTAAAAATTAACAGAATATTCTAACGTGGAATTTTGCTCTCCTCCTCCATGTTGCTCATTTTTTTTTTTGAATAACCAGCCTAAACTTCTCTCCAGGAATTCTTCTACCACTGAGCCCACTTGGTGAATTTACTTATTTTTCTCTATTTGTTTGTATTTGGTTATTTTGAACCTTTTCTCTACACCATCAGATAGCAATTCTCCACCAGGATCCAGGGCCCCCTTTGGGAGAGGAGGATGTGTTTGGAAAAAACCTCCTAGATGATGCTAGATACCCTCCTTGACATTCACTGCTTCTATTTTTTAAAATTTGTTTTAATTGTTTTTTTTTTCTTCTTAAAGAGACTGGGTCTTGCACTGTCACCCAGGCTGGAGTGCAGTGGTGCAATCATGGCTCACTGCAGCCTCAAACTCCTGGGCTCAAGCAGTCCTCCCACCTCAGCCTCCCGAGTAGCTGAGACTACAGGAAGGTACCATCACAACTAGATAATTTTTAAATTTTTTGTAGAGACAGGGTGTCACTATATTGCCCAGGCTGGTCTCAAACTTCTGGTCTTGAACTTCTGGGCTCAAGTGATCTCCTGCCTCAGCATTCCAAAGTGCTGGGATTATAGGCATGAGCCACCATGCCCAGCCTAAAAACTTATTTTGTGCCTGCTAAATAAGTTCTAGGAGCTGTTAGGGAAACAAGGCTCAGAGCCTCAAGGCAAGAGATAAACTCCAAATAGGAGAAGTACGGCAGCTGTGGTGTAAGTAAGGTGCAGGTGAGATAGATACTATGCAAATAATTGTAATTTTAAAATCTTGGTTGTGATGAGGGCTCTGTGAAGGCTCTTGATACACTTAGTCCCGGGTGGGAAGAGAGGGGAGGAAGATGTGGAAAGCTGCTTAGAGAAAGTAGCATTTAAGCTGAGATGGGGAGGATGAGTAGTTCATAGCCAGGTAAAGTGGAGCAGGGGAGAATGCGTGCCACTTGGGTAGAGAGTGAAGCTCAGTGAGAGAGAGATGGGGCAGGAGAGTTTAGAGTCTTTCAGATTTAGCCTCAGCAACTAAGGGAAGTCATCGGATGGTTCTACGCAGGAGGGAGTCTTGGCCAGATGTGCATTTTACAAAGGATGTTTTGTTTGGGGAACAGATCGGGGAGCATAAGAGCCAAGTGAGGAGGCCAGGTAGGAAGCTGTCCCAGCGATGGAGGGATAGATGATGGTAGCTAGCACCAAGGGGCCGTACGGAGGGAGAAAAGGCTGAGTGAACTGTTTGGGAGTGATAAGATTGATTATGCGAGGTAAGAAAGCAGTCAGTTACAATGAGGACTCGAGGTTAAGATGGAAGGAGTATCGAGTTGTTTTTAATGCTGCTGGGGGTCAAATCAGGTAAGGACTGAAAGTGTCTAATAGACTTAGGGATACGGAGGTCCCTGGCTTTTAGGGAGATAGTCTTGAACAACAGTGGGAGGAGAGGGTAGGAAGGTGATTGGTGTGAGCTGAGGTGGGAGTGGGAGTAGAGGGAGTCCTTAGGCTGGCAACACCCCAGCTCTTGCAGGCCACACCTTCTGCGGCCTGGGGCTGGGAGGGGAGGGCAGCCACGCCTCCGGGAGCTCCCGGTCGGCATTCCTGAGTCTGACTGAGCATGAAACACCTGGCGTTCTTCTTTCTTTGTTTCCTGACAGTGGGAAGCCTTCAGCCTTCCAGAACTACAGAATTTCTTGCGTATCTTGGACAAGGAAGAAGATGAGCAGCTGCAGAACCTGCGGGGGCGCTACGCAGCCTACAGACACAAGCTGGAAGAAGCCCTCCGCGAGGTCTGGAAGCCTGATTAAAGGGGGCTCCCTGCCCGCCAGGCCCGGTGCGGGGACCGATGTACAAAACAACAGCAAGTGCCTCTCTTCTCAGAGGGCTGCTGTCTTGCCCCTCTATGCTAGGGTCTTCCCCTTTCTATCTGTAGATTTTGTTCCCCAAACCTGGTCACACAGCATCCTGCACCTTAGCGTCCCATGTAAGGGGCGCTGCAAGCTTGTTGTTCAGCACCGCAGTGTTACCTCTTGGCAAGCTGTGAACCTGTAGCGTCATCAGGAGCATTCGAGGGTGCTTGGAAGCATGAACTCTGGGGGTGTTTTTTTTTTTTGTTTTTTTATTTGGTTGTTTTAATTATGTGATGATGCTGTTAAGCTTACGGATATGCTGTTGATGTTTTAAAAAGCTTAACTAGGAATCTTTCTGAATACTTGTCCTATTTTGAAACTACCTGTCTGGTTTTTGTTTTCTTTTCTTTTTTTAATGTCAGAGGAATCTATCCATGTGAATCGAAAGGCACAGGAATCTAGGAACTCTGAGGAATTTATTGTGAAGGATTTTGTTAGGGGTTGACACGAAAGGAAAGTGTAAGTTTGGAAGAAGGCATGTGGGGTGGTGGCGAGCGCTGCGGGCTGTGGAAGGTGACTTGGCTTTTCAGTTAGGGGTAGTGGAGAAAGGGGTAGTTGCTTGTAAATGAGTTAAAAGCATTCAGTGTGGAGATGTTAAACTCATTTTAGGATCGCTTGGTTTCCTGGTGGGTAAAATGTGGGAACAGAGCCAGAGGCAAGAGCTAAACCAAAAGGAGGGCCCCATGAACCCTGCAGCCAACCGACCAGAAAATCAGGCAGGTGGAGCCTGCCGACCTGGGCAGAGGTAGGCCTCACACTGGACCTGACCCTCTTCATTCTGCCCGTTTGGAGTGGAAGGTCTAATTGGTGTAGCTGCTGTGCATAGGCAGGACAGTGACCATTCACTAACTCTTGTTAAGTTACATACAGTATATAATTTTCCTCCCCAGGTGGTTTTCGAAGTTGAGATGGAATTCGGGTAGGGGCAGCTGTTTTTCCCTTGATTGGTAGCTAGGATATTTATCAAGTAAACTTTTGTGACAATCACCACCTTCCCTTTTATTCCTCCTTTCCTTTTCCTTTCTTCCCTTTTTTCTTTCCTTCCCTTCTCTTTCCCACCCTACCTTGTTCCTTCCCTCCTTCTCTCCCCTCCAGTTTCTTTTCTACATTGAAATCTGTTCTTACATAATATAGAACAGGGCAATTGAATGAGGACCCAATCCTACCAGATCTTTAGTTCTAAAGGGCAACTTGACTGTGAGTAGGAGGCCCCCAAGAAAGGGAGGAAAGTCCACACCCAGCTAACCACACAACAGGGCTTCATTATGGAAATATTTTAACAAAAGTACATGTTATTACCAACCAAAGAAATGCATGTGCAATAGAAGCCTTCCTTAAAACAGGCTAAATAACCTCATTTTATGCAGCATTTTAATCTGAGAACAGAGGGAAAGGTGTGCAGTGGTTCCAGAGGGGCCTTATATTCTATTTTTAGTCTAGATATTTTTTGTTTATAAATTCCCAAGGAATTGTTAACACTTTGGTGACACCTAATGGATTCTTTTTGAAATTCCAAGGTGCTTCAGTTCTTTGCCTAAGTGAACTGTGCCTTTTATTGCATTTCTGTTCCTCTCTTGGTGGCTCTTCTGACTTTTCAGAGAACACCCATCTTGTTGGAGGCAGACCTAAGTTGTTACGCTGTGCCACACAATCTACTGAGACAATCAGATCTTCCTAAGCATTTAAGGAAAGTTGAAAAAAATAGAATTAGCAGCTATCAAATATGTATGGCACATCTTGTTTAATTTTGCATGTAACTTCTCTTTAGTACATTGATGAGGTTTTAGTGACATTATCATCCAACACTTTACCTTTATTGTTCAGGGAATGCCTTCGTGATTTTTTTTTTACTGGTTTTACTATTCAGACTATGGCCTGGGTTTGAGTATATTGTTATCATCACCTGATTTTTTAATTATTCATCCCAGTTAACTTATATTTTGTGAAGCATTTGTTTCTCAGATTAAGACACTGTTAGAACCTAAAGTAGTAGCTTATGGGTATCTGTGAATTTTTTTTTTTTTTACTTGAAGTAGATTGTCTGAATAGGCATCCTCATCTGTATTTATCCAGAACCTCGCTCACTGTCATGTGCACTACAGATTGCAATTTGGAAACTTACTGTATTGAAATTCTGTCAGTTCATGGTTCTTGAAGACTGATGTCCTTTCCCAAACACTGGTTACTGCAGCAGCATTTTTAATGTGTAAGTGAAGAAAAAAGGCCACTAAGGCCAAAGATTTTTTAAGAACCATTGTGCAAATCGTTATGTTAAACTATCTAAGCTTTGCTGTAATACTGTTTTCTCTTCAGTATGTGATGGTACAGGAAAGATGTTAAATGAAGGGGGGTAGTATTGCAGGAGAGCATTTTAAATGGCAGAAGTAAAAAGTTATAATATTTATAATTTTGATGGGTTTAAGCTTATTTTTGTAGGGAAGATTTTTCCTCCCTAGAATTGTTTCTAGAATGGCAAAATTGTTTCCATTATTAAAAATTGAAGTTATTAGTTGATATTTGTGTGTGTTTATTTATGATAATATGCTAGATTTAAAAAGGTCACAGGAGTGGGCTGAGCTGCTTTTGCAGATACACAGGGACACATGCTGGAATGCAACAACTTTACTAAGTTTGGGTGGGTCATACTTGTTCTCCCAGATGTCATTTTCTCTTTGCCTTATCCTCTGAGGAAAAATAACCTTAAGCTCACACCGCATATTCCTATTTTATTTAAAACAATTGTTTTAATTTTTGAAATATACACATTTAAAAGTATATAAAGTATTTATAAGAGGGAGGCCGAGAGTGAAAAAATAAAAATAAAAAAGCATGCAAACAGTTTACAGGATTATTATATAAAATGGACACCCCATGGCCATTACCAAAATAGAACCTTGTCAGTTCTTTAGAAATCTCCCTCCACCCCTGTTGTTGCCCTGAGGTCTCCTACCCCTGAAACACACCATTTCAACATAAAGTGAGTATTTGTATTTTTTGGGTCACCGTGACTGCCTTACACAGATGGGATGGAGAGTGTCTGGGGAACCCGCAGGGATGATGGGGTTCCGCCCTGTGCGCACCTCCACCTCATCTTTGTCCCGTGGTGTTCAGCTTCCATGCCTGCTGTTGGGAGTGTTTTTACTACTACACTGCCCCCTGGAGGGGCTGATGAAATAGGAGCAAGGCTGGCACCAGGTGGTAAAGGCCTTTCACATGCCATAGCTGCTCTCTAAATAAAAATACTGTGATAGAAAATTATGGCTTTGTATAATTCTGCTTACTACTGAAACATTCAGAGGAATCAGGTTTGGGGGGTTCTACTTGGGTTACTACCCAAGGTGCATGGGGAATGTTTGGGAATTTTTATATTTTTATCCCTCCCTTTTTTTTTTTTTGGAGATGGAGTCTCACTCTGTCGCCCAGGCTGGAGTGCAGTGGCATGATCTTGGCTTACTGTAACCTCCACTTCCCAGGTTCAAACAATTCTCCTGCCTCAGCCTCCCTAGTAGCTGGGATTACAGGTGCCTGCCACCACACCCGACTAACTGTTTTTTTTTTTGTATTTTTTAGTAGTGATGGGGTTTCTCCATGTTGGCTAGGCTGGTCTCAAACTCCTGACCTCAAGTGACCCACCCACCTTGGCTTCCCGAAGTGCTGGGATTACAGGTAGGACTTTTTTTTTTTTTTTTTTAAAGTCAATTTTTATTACTAAAAAACCTTTTTTTTTTTTTTCTTTAAGATAGAGTTTCACTCTTGTCTCCCAGGTTGGAGTGCAGTGGCATGATCTGGGCTCACTACAGCCTCCACCTCCTAGGTTCAAGCGATTGTCCTGCCTCAGCCCCCCTGAGTAACTGGGATTACAGGCATGAGCCACCATGCTCGGCTCTCATGAATATTTATTGAAGCAACAGTTATCAATTGGCGACAAATTCAGAGACACTGTCAGATAACCCTAATTAGGTGTTTTGTTTTATTGAAAGAAGGGGGCCGGGCGCGGTGGCTCATGCCTGTAATCCCAGCACTTTGGGAGGCTGAGGTGGGCAGATCATGAGGTCAGGAATTTGAGACCAGCCTGACCAAAAATGGTGAAACCCTGTCTCTACTAAAAATACAAAAATTAGCCGGGCATGGTGGCGTGTGCCTGTAATCCCAGCCACTCAGGAGGCTGAGGCAGGAGAATTGCTTGAACCAGGGGAGTTAAGGTTGCAGTGAGCCGAGATCGCCCCATTGCACTCCAGCCTGGGTGACAAAGCGAAACTCTGTCTCAAAAAACAAAAAAAACGAAAGAAGGGGGGCCAGGCGTTGTGGCTCATGCCTGTAATCCCAGCACTCTGGGAGGCCAAGGCGGGCTGATCGCTTGAGGCCAGGAGTTCAAGACTAGCATGGCCAACATGGCAAAACCCCTTCTCTGCTAAAAATATAAAAATCAGCCAGGCGTGGTGGCACACGACTGCAGTCTTAGCTACTCAAGAGGCTGAGGCAAGAAAATCGCTTGAACCCGGGAGGCGGGCGCTACAGTGAGCCATGATTGTGCCACTGTACTCCAACCTGGTCAACAGAGCAAGACTCTATCCAAAAAAAAAAAAAAAAGGGTGGTGGTGAAGGTCTACACTACAATAGCCAGTGCTAACAAAGTGCTTACTATGTGCTAGGCATGCTTCTGAAACGCTTAAGTATGTATTAACTCATTGACTCCCCCATGACGTTACCACACTATTTCTTCATATCCCTTTTTTTTAAAAATGTGGAAACGGACATGTTGAGGTTTAGCAGTTTGCTCAAGGCCACTGTGTGAGTGAGTGGCAGAGCCGGGCACTGCCCCATTTCTCTACCATCTTTTCCTGTAAGTGCTCTCTAGTTTCTCAGTTACATTGCCTATTGAGTAAAGGAGCAAAAGTCTGTTAAATTGCTGTAATGGACAGTTCACCCAGAACTGTTTTGGTACCGTTGGGGTTTGTTGATGTCAGTGTGTTCTCATCCATTTTGGTTCATTTATCATTTCATTTAGGTGATTATACTAAGTCACATAGAATGAAATGCTGACCTGTGTTTTCTTTTTGTTCTTCTTGTTTTCTTTGGGATGGGGTCTCACCTTGTCACCCAGGCTGTAGTGTAGTGGCGTGATTATGGCTCACTGCAGCCTTAACCTTCTGGGCTTGGGAGATCCTCCCATCTCAGCCTCTCAAGTAGCTGGGACTACAGATGCCTGCCACCACATCCAGCTAATTTTTTTTTTCATTTTTGTAAAGATGGAATCAGGCTATGTTACCCACGCTGGTCTCAAACTCCTGGGTTTAAGTGATCCTCCTACTTTGGCCTCCTAAAGTGCTGGGATTACAGCCACCATGCCCAGCCCAGACCTGTGTTTTCATTTAGAGGTTCTGTTGCATGGGGTGAAATGACAAGGCAGGTAACCAAACTTAGTGGTCTCACTCCAATTGGTAAGACAATTCTCCTGGAGCCACCAGAAGAACAGCTT